CAGTAGGTGCAGGACGGACAAAAGGAAAGTCTTCTTTACACAGAAAATGGTTAAAATGTGGAATTCGCTACCAGAGGATGTAGTGATGGCCACAAGGACAGACAGCTTGAAAAGGAGACTAGGTAGATTCATGGAAGACTTGTCTATCAGTGGCTATTACCATGGAGACTAAAGGGAACCTCAACATTCAGAAGCAGTCAACCTCTAAATCCCAGTGCCAGAAGGCAACAACATCACTGGAAGGCCTCGGCCTCTCTGCCCTGTTGCTGCCCCTCCAGAAGGACTGGCTGGCCTCTGTGTGAGACGGGATGCTGGACTAGAGGGACCCTCCCTGGTCTGACCCAGCAGGGCTCTTCTGGTGTCCTTTTCAGGGGAAGGCCTCGGCCTCTCTGCCCTGTTGCTGGCCCTCCAGAGGAGCTGGCTGGCCCCTGTGTGAGACGGGATGCTGGACTAGAGGGACCCTCACTGGTCTGACCCAACAGGGCTCTTCTGGTGTCCTTATCAGGGGAAGGCCTCAGCCTCTCTGCCCTGTTGCTGGCCCTCCAGAGGAGCTGGCTGGCCCCTGTGTGAGACGGGATGCTGGACTGGATGGACCCTCCCTGGTCTGACCCAGCAGGGCTCTTCTGGTGTCCTTCTCAGGGGAAGGCCTCGGCCTCCCTGCCCTGTTGCTGGCCCTCCAGAGGGACTGGCTGGCCCCTGTGTGAGACGGGAGGCTGGAGTAGAGGGACCCTCCCTGGTCTGACCCAGCAGGGCTCTTCTCTGGTGTTCAAATGTTAAGCTGTTGCTTCTGTACTCCGTAGGTCCTCCGGGGAACCCGTCTTGCTGTCCGTCCTCACGAGATCATGGCGTTTCAGGCCCTGGCACTGCTGCTCTTCCTGGCCGGTCCCGTCCTGCCGGGGCCCGAACCTCTGACCGGCCCCCGGTGCACGTACACCTTCGTCCTCCCCCAGCAGAAGTTCACGGGGGCCGTGTGCTGGAGCGGCGTCCGCCCTCCCCCCGAGCCGCCGGGCCCCAACCGCAGCGAGGTGGAGGAGTTGCGCTACCTGCTCGGCCGGCAGCAGGCCCAGATGGACGAGCTGCGGCGGCTGGTGGAGGTGGACGGGGAGGTGGTGAGCGAGGTCAAGGCCCTGCGCAAGGAGAGCCGCAACGTCAACGCCCGGGTCACCCAGCTGTACACCCAGCTCCTCCACGAGATCCTCCAGCGCCGGGAGCGGCCGGTGCAGACCTCCCAGCTGGAAGGGCAGGTGGCCAACGCCTCCGCCGAGGCCCTGCGGGTGGCCGCCAACTACCGCCAGCTGGAGGGCAAGTACCAGGCCTTGGCGGCCCTGGTGAACAATCAGAGCGCCCTCATCAGCCGGCTGGAGAGGGACTGCCAGCAAGGGAACGCAGGCAGGACACGCCCGCAGGTACGGTCAGAGGGGACCGGGAGGGATCGGACAGCCTCGGGCAGTCAAGGGGATGCCGGCCTCCAGGTGGGGCCTGGGGATCCCCCGGAATTCCAGCTCATCTCTAGACTACTGAGGTCGGTTCCCCTGGAGGAAATGGCTGCTTTGGAGGGGGGACTCTGTAGCCTTGTACCCCATTGAGGTTCAGGGATACCAGCCTCCAGGTGAGGCCTGGGGATCCCCCGGAATTCCAGCTCATCTCTAGACTACTGAGGTCGGTTCCCCTGGAGGAAATGGCTGCTTTGGAGGGGGGACTCTGTAGCCTTGTACCCCATTGAGGTTCAGGGATACCAGCCTCCAGGTGAGGCCTGGGGATCCCCCAGAATTACAACTCGTCTCCAGACTGCAGAGCTCAGTTCCCCTGGAGGCAATGGCTGCTTTGGAGGGGGGACTCTGGGGCACTGCACCCCACTGAGGTTCAGGGATGCCAGCCTCCAGGTGGGGCCTGGGGATCCCCCGGAATTATGGTTCATCTCCAGACTACGGAGCTCAGTTTCCCCCTGGAGAAAAATGATGCTTTGGAGGGTGGACTCTGGGGCACTGTACCCCACTGAGGTTCAGGGATGCCAGCCTCCAGGTGGGGCCTGGGGATCCACCCGAATTATGGCACGTCTCCAGACTATGGAGCTCAGTTCCCCTGGAGAAAAATCGATGCTTTGGAGGGTGGACTCTGTGGCATTGTACCCCACTGGGACCTCCCCTGTCCTTCTCCGGCTCCACCCCCAAATCTCCAGGAATTTCCCAACCTGGATCTGGCCTCAGGATGCCAGCCTCCAAGTGGGACCTCAGGATCCCCCCAGAATTACAGCTCATCTCCAGACATGCAGCTGCCGTTGTGACCTTGGGTCAGTTGCAAGTTCTCTCAGGACTGTTCTCTGCAGCCGCCTCTTTGCATTGTGAGCTGGCGACTGCATCGTTCTAAAGAGACTTGTACTTTCAAGGACTGTTAGGTCGCTGCTCAACTGGCGTATATGCCATTGATGCACAGGGGCAAAACCATTATTGTGTGTATTGTTTATCATTGTAATTAGAACCATGTAAGAAGATGGAAGTCTCTAGTGTAGTCGGCATGGCGAGTCCGATCAGACGGCTCTTTAGATCTGCGCGAGGCACGATTGCCTCACAGATCTAAAGGTAATGTCCAGACACAAACATTTGGGAAATGTCCCTCTTCCGTGGGCATCCCATTTTGCTGTGCTTCGAAGCTGTACTTAAAAGATATCACTTTAAATCTGGGGGTTTTGGTTACCTGCGGAACAACTGAGGTATTTCGCCCGTCTGATCGTTCCACCAGTGCGCAATCCTCCCGTCAGGGTGGTCTGCCGTCAGACCATCCCAAGCAGGCGCCATTTAAAAAAATCTCTACACATGCATGGATCAACAAGGACGTGCTGTCACGTCTATGCGCATGCGCAAAAAGTTTAAAACGTTTTGTTTTTAACTTCGGCATTTATGCCCCTTGTGAGCCGCCCTGAGCCTTCGGGGAGGGCGGGATATAAATTTTAAAATAAAAATAAATAAATAAACAAATTTTTTAAAAAAACCCACCGTGCGCCTCCTTCAACAAGGATGCGCTGTGACGCCTATGTGCATAAGCAAAACCTTTTTTTTAAAAAAAAACCCACCGCGCATGCCTCCTTCAGTGGACGCCATACGCCATCTAGACAATCCACAATGGAGGCAGCGTGCGGCAAGGCGATTCACCAGGGGGATGTCTGGTCATACTACGATGGAGTAAAAAGATCGGGATAAAATTCAAACTGGCATAATGACGGGATTAGCCACCCGTCTGAACGCACCCTCAGTGTGACAGATCATTCTGCTTATTTGTCTGCATAACGGCATTCGCTCCATTTCCATTCCTGTGTGGTTCACGTGCCCACCCCCCTTGGCCCCGATTCCTGCCCACCGGTCAGGCGGGCACTGGTGAGCAAGGGCTACAATTGGCTAGACGTCTCCTGCCGTAAGTGGGCCCGTGGGAACCCTCGCTCTCCCCCTTGGCTTCGAGGGTGCAGAAATCTGAACTGCCATCCTTCTCCTGTGACGGCAGGGGCAGAACGACGACTCTTTTCTCTCTCCAGTTTGATGTAGTGGTTAAGTGTGCGACTCTAATCTGGGAGAACCGGGTTTGATTCCCCACTCCTCCACTCGCACCTGGCTGGATGACCTTGGGCAAGCCGTAGTTCTGATAAGAGCTGTCCTTGAAAAAGAGCACTTTCTGTCAGAGCTCTCTCAGCCCCACCTGCCTCGCTGGTGTGGGGAGGGGAGGGAAAGGAAATTGTAAGCCGCTCTGAGACACCTTTGGGTAGTGAAGGGCAGGGTATAAATCCAATCTCTTATTCTTCTTTTACCTCACAGGGTGTCTGTTGTGCGGAGGGGAAGGGAAAGGAGTTTGTAAGCCGCTCTGAGACTCCTTTGGGGAGTGAAGGGCAGGGTATAAATCCAATCTCCTCTTCTTCTTCTTTTACCTCACAGGGTGTCTGTTGTGGGGAGGGGAAGGGAAAGGAGTTTGTACGCCGCTCTGAGACTCCCTTGGGTAGTGAAGGGTGGGGTATAAATCCAATCTCTTATTCTTCTTTTACCTCACAGGGTGTCTGTTGTGGGGAGGGGGAAGGGAAAGGAGTTTGTCAGCCGCTCTGAGACTCCTCTGGGTCGTGAAGGGCGGGGTATAAATCCAATCTCTTCTTCTTTTTCTTCTTCTTCTCCGCAGCCCCCTCTGGTGCCTGTGGTGCCCTACAACCCTTCCAGCGTCGCCAATGAAAGCAGGGCTCATTTCGACGCCATCAATGACATCCAGCGAGACCAGAGTCTTCAGGCGGTACCTGTCCAGCCCCAGCACCGGGAGGAGGCTTCCGTCCCACCTGCTGGGACACTCCCGCCCCCTGTCCTTGTGCCCACCAGGACCACAGGTGAGAGAGGGCGTGGCTGCCAATAAGGTTTCGGGGGTGGAGCCTGGGGAGAGCAGGGGTTGAGGAGGGGAATGGCCTTAGTGAGAGCCAGTTTGATGCAGTGGTTAGGAGCGCGGACTCTAGTCTGGGAGAACCGCCTTAGTGAGAGCCAGTTTGGTGCAGTGGTGAGGAGCGCGGACTCTAGTCTGGGAGAGCCGCGTTTGATTCCCCCACTCCTCCACATGCAGCTGCCGGTGTGGCCTTGGGTCAGTCACAAGTTCTCTCAGAGCTGTTCTCTCGGCGGCAGTCCTGAGAGAGAGCTCTCTCAGCCCCCACCGACCTCTCCGGCAACGCTCCCTCTAAGCTGTGGAGTCTCTTGTGAGCAAAAATTCTACTTGGTGAGCTACCGGGATTAAAGTTGTGAGCGAGCGATTTGGGTACTGCACAAATTACTTTGCTCTGGAGCCATCCTTCCTGAGCTAGGACACAAATCTGTGAGCCGGAGGCTATAAATCTGTCAGCTAGCTCACGCTAACTCAGCTTAGAGGGAACACTGCTCGCAGGGTGTCTGTGGTGGGGAGGGGAAGGGAAAGGAGATTGTAAGCCACTCTGAGACCCCCATTGGGTAGTGAAGGGTGGGGAATAAATCCAGTCTCTTCTTCCTCAGCCGTATAGTGCCATAGAGTCCACTTCCAAAGCAGTGGTTTCCTCCAGGGGAACTGATCTCTGTGGTCTGGACTGGAGATTGGTTGTAATTGCGGGAGATCTCCAGACCACAGAGTTTAATTCTCCTGGAGAAAGTGGCCTCTTCGGAAGGTAGACTCCGTGTGACATCACATCCCTGTCTTGCTCCTGCACCACCCCTTCCTCCCCAGGCTCCGCCCCCACATTTCCGGGGGTGTCTCCACCCAAAGTTTCAACCTGAGGTGGAGCTAGGACTCCCAAGTTCTTGGTTCCCACGTAGAAGTTTTTGTCACTGAAACATGTGATCATCCCCAAGAATTCTGACCTACAGTCCCAAAATAGTAAAGCATAAGGCCTGAGAGACCTTATGGTGCACATGAGTTTTGAAAATTGGTGGGAGACTGAGATTGGGTTGGACCATGAAATTGAACCGTAACATGTGTCCAAGAAATATATTGCATTACAATATATTTTGCATTTTCTTTCATTCTTTGAAAACAGTCATGTTTGAACTTGAAACTGAGAATCATGTTATAACTGTGCTTGCCATATTTCACTGCAGTTTCTTAACTTGTGTTGTGGTGTAAGTTTTACCCAAGGAAAACAGGATGTATGAAGTTTACTTGACTGTATTATTGTATTGTTATATCTTGTTTTTAACTGTTTTAAGTGTGGCCTTGAGCCACTAATTGTTAGCCGCCCTGAGCCTGAGGAGAGGGTGGGATATAAATCGAATAATAAATAAATAAATAAAATAAAATGACGGTGAGGTGTGCCTTTGAATTTGCAATGGGGAAAGACTGAAGAGTCAATCTGCCATATAGGAAAGCGGGGGGGGGAGGCATGATCGATGCTCCCTCTAAGGTGTGGAGTCTTGTGAGCAAAAATTCTACTTTGTGAGCTTCTGGCATTAAAGTTGTGAGCGAGCAGTTCAGCTACTGGATACATTTGGTGTCGTTGGTTAAGTGCGCAGACTCTAATCTGGGAGAACCGGGTTTGATTCCCCACTCCTCCACTCGCAGCTGCTGGATGACCCTCGGCAAGCCATAGTTCTGTCAGAGCTGTTCTCTC